ACTGCTTTGGGCAATATAGGTATATACTAAGTTTCAGTCTTTCTAGTGTTAAACATGATTTTTTTATTGTTTATGTCCAGCTTACAGTCCACTAGGCTCTCACGTCCGATAGATTCTGCGAGGGTAAACGAGCTGATTAAATATTTGTCAAAATGCCAGCTCAGTCCGAAAGTGCAAACAGTCCCATCGTAAGGGAACCGACTATAATGAACGGAGACAATGGCCCGTACAATGTTCAAGATGAAGTCGTTATCAGCGGTTTCTCAGGTAAATTATTCTGTTACATTTTATGTGTAATTATATTTTTACGATTTATGGTAAACGTTTAATCGTTTCTTTTTTTTTAAAGGCCGCTACCCAGAGTCTGAGAACGTAGAAGAATTTAAGAATAACTTATTCGAAGGCATAGACATGGTGACTGACGATGCACGTCGATGGCCTGCCGGTCTCTACGGTTTGCCTTTGAGAACTGGTAAACTGAAGGATCTTACATCGTTCGATTCCACTTTCTTCGGTGTCCACGCGAAACAGGCTCACGTGATGGACCCACAAATGCGTCTGTTCCTCGAAGCGACTTACGAAGCGATCATAGACGCTGGTACCAACCCAAACGAGATTAGGGGAAGCAAAACTGGCGTGTTCATCGGTGTGTCGACGTCCGAATCAGAAGAATTCTGGAGCAAAGATCCAGATGAAGTAAACGGTTGGTATATATTTAATACCTCTGTTTATTAGGTTTGTTGTAATCTAAAGTAGAGAAATTGACAATGTTGTAATCTAAAGTAGAGAAATTGAAAATGTTGTAATCTAAAGTAGTGAAATTGTAAAATTCAATTGAATTGAAAAGAAATTGACAAAAATCTTGTAAATCAAGAACGATTTTAACTCATACCTCGTGAATTGAAACGAATTTTGCATTAGATAAATTGATTAATTGCAGGATATGGATTAACCGGTTGCAGCAAGTCGATGTTCGCCAACAGGATTTCATACACGTTCGATTTCAAAGGGCCTAGTTACGCACTGGACACCGCGTGCTCTTCGTCGATGTACGCGATGCACCAAGCGATATCCGCGATACGTGCGGGCGAGTGCGACGCAGCGATCGTCGGTGGTTGCAATCTATTACTGAAACCCACCACTTCCCTCCAGTTCCACAGGCTAAGCATGTTATCCCCTGACGGCACGTGCAGAGCTTTCGACGCCGACGGCAAGGGCTACGTCAGATCGGAAGCGGTGTCGGTCTTGTTCCTACAGAAAGCGAAGAACGCACGTAGAATATACGCGACCGTTGTACATTCCAAGACGAATACGGACGGTAATAAAGTACAGGGAATCACGTTCCCCAGCGGAGAAGTACAGAATCAATTGTTACGCGAGGTTTACGCGGAAGCTGGTATCAATCCCGCCGACGTGTCGTACGTGGAGGCTCACGGGACCGGGACCAAGGCCGGAGACCCTCAAGAAATCAATTCGATCGCGAGCCTCTTCTGCAAGGGTAGAAAAACGCCTCTTTTACTCGGTTCCGTCAAATCCAACATGGGCCACTCCGAGGCAGCCAGTGGAGTCTGTTCCGTATCGAAGCTGCTGATCGCTATGGAAGCTGGCATGATTCCCGGCAATCTGCACTTCAAGTCGCCGAACACAGACATACCATCGTTGACCGACGGAAGTATACAAGTCGTGGATAAGAACACACCATGGAAAGGTGGCCTCGTAGCTTTGAATTCCTTCGGTTTCGGCGGTGCCAACGCTCACCTTCTGTTCCGTACCAATCCGAAACCGAAATTATCCCCCGTTCTTGATAGCAAAATACCGAAAATGGTGACGGTGTCTGGTCGCACTGAGGAGGCAGTAGAACTGCTTCTAGCCAAGGCGAAGGAAAACGAGAACGACGACGAATTCTTGGCACTGCTTCACGATATTCATTCAAGCAACATCGCCGGTCATCTCTACCGAGGATATGCAGTAATGGGAAACGTCAACACTCGGGAAGTTAGCTCGATAACCAGCTCGCAGAAACGTCCGATTTGGTATGTGTTCTCCGGAATGGGATCCCAATGGGCAGGCATGGCCAGAGAGCTACTCTGCATCGACACATTCCACAGAAGTTTGCAAAAATGCGCTGACGCCATTAAACCGGAAGGAATCGATTTAATGAATCTTATTCTAAACGGAACTCCTGACACCTTTGAGAATGTTTTACACTCGTTCGTCTCGATCGCCGCTATCCAAGTGGCTCTCGTGGACTTACTGAGCTTCCTGGGAATCCAGCCCGACGGTATCATCGGACATTCCGTCGGAGAGTTGGGATGTGCTTACGCAGACGGTACTTTCACACCGGAGCAAACCGTAGTAGCCGCCTATTGGAGAGGCAAGTCGATCCTGGACGCTAATTTAGAACCGGGAGGTATGGCAGCTGTAGGTTTGAGTTGGGACCAAGTGGCAGCTCGATGCCCACCGGATATCGTCCCAGCCTGCAACAATTCCAGCGACTCCGTGACAGTTTCTGGTCCAGTGGAATCCATCCGTAAATTCGCGGAAACGTTGAAGAAGGAGAACATCTTCGCGAAAGTAGTGCACAGCTCTGGCGTCGCGTTCCACAGCAAATACATTTCCCCTGTAGGACCCAGACTCCGTGCCGTCATGGAGAAGATCATTCCAAACCCGAAACCGAGGACCGCAAGATGGGTGTCCACTTCTATACCTCACTCAGCCTGGGGAACTCCGTTGGCGCAGTACAGCAGTGCTGCTTACCACGTGAACAATCTGTTATCACCGGTGCTGTTCCATCAGACGCTGTCCCACATCCCAGAGAATGCGATAACCATCGAAATCGCGCCTCATTGTCTGCTTCAAGCAATCCTCCGTAGATCGTTGGACCCGTCCGTGGTCAACATCGGCCTACACAAGCGCGATCACTCGAATAATCTCGCTTTCCTGTTGGAGAACCTTGGAAAATTGTACAACGCTGGAGGCCTGCCGCAACTGTCCAAGTTGTATCCACCTGTTACTTACCCGGTCGGTCGTGGCACGCCGATGCTCAATTCTCTCGTGCAGTGGGATCATTCCGTGGAATGGAACGTAGCTAATTTCGGATCGAAAGCAGTTTCCTCTGGAGAAATGGTGATCGAGGTAGACTTAGCCAAGGAAAACGACGCTTTCATCGCTGGACACGTGATCGACGGAAGAGTACTCTTCCCCGCTACTGGATATTTAGTGCTGGTCTGGAAGACATTCGCGAAACTTCGAGGGGTCGATTATGAGAAGATGCCGGTCACTTTTGAGAACGTCAAGTTCCAGAGAGCCACCATCATGCCGAAAGAAGGCTCTGTGAAATTCTTGATCAACATCTTCATCGGAACTGGAGAGTTCGAGATCTGCGAGAACGGATCCGTGGCTGTATCTGGTACCATCTCTGTGCCGGAGAACGTTGACAAGATGCTGTTGAACCTGCCTGTACCTATTGTTAAAAACGAACGCGATTTATTGGAGCTGAACAAGAACGACATTTATAAGGAGCTGAGATTGAGGGGATACGATTACACTGGCGTATTCCAAGGAATAAAATCTGCTCATAATCGCGGCCAGGTTGGCAAGCTCCTTTGGAATAATTGGATCGCATTTATGGATACCATGCTTCAGTTCTCTATCCTTGAGAAGGATTCCAGAGGATTGTACGTGCCAGTTCGTTTGCAGTACGCCGCTATTAACCCAATGGCTCATTTGGAATTCGTAGAAAATTACAATCAAGAAGAAGGCGTTCCTGTGTTCTCTTATTCGAACATCGGCGTCGTTAAATCTGGCGGTATTGAGATTAGAAAGATGAAGGCTTCATTGGTTGGCAAGAAACAGCAGCCTCAGACGCCTAAATATGAAAGGCAGATATTCGTACCGTACGAAAATATGCAACCCCTGGTGCAAGATCCTGAAAAGGCTAGACTGAATGCTCTGACCGTGCTCCTGCAAATCGTGCGTGAGAACACGCCTGGAATTAAAATCAAAGTGGTCGAGGCTGGTGGTGAACGACCCGTGGAATCTTTACTGACTTCGAATATACTGGATATCTTTTATGGCGAACCTCTCCTCACTGTAAGCTCGAGTTTATTTTATTTTACTTGTTTGAAAGTTGTTTTAATAATTTCTTCTAATTAAGCTAATAATTTTCGTGTCTATTTTTCCAGGTCGATTTGCAAGTGGCTACGTCAGGGTCGGTCGATGATTATAGCAGCTTGGAACCATTGGGAGTCAAGGTCGTATCGCGTGACGAAGAGGTCGCACCTGTTGGTCAAGAATTACATCTCGTCGTGGCCGGCAATTTGTTGTCCACCAACGCGACGAATTCTTTGGTGAACCTGACCAACAGCTTGAAGGTCGGAGGTTTTCTGCTGCTGGAAGAAACGACTTCGTCTACCAGTGTTCCGACGAATGAATTGGTCTTCGTTGCCAAGCAAGTCGTGGTCGGAAGAACTTACTTGCTGTACAAGAAGGTCGAAGAAATGTCGTCGCCTACGATCTTGCAAATAACCGAGAAGAACTTCAAATGGCTCGAAGGTGTCAAAGCAGCTTTGAAAAAAGCCGCGTCTGAGAATCAGGAACTTCTGCTGGTCAGCCAGGGCGAGGAGTTGCTCGGTATGACTGGATTCATGAACTGTCTTCGCCGCGAGGAGGGCGGCACGAAGGCCCGTTACGTCTTCATCCAAGACAAGAACGCCCCTAAGTTCAACCTGAACGATAAATTCTACGCTCAACAACTGAACAAGCAGCTGGTAGCTAACGTCCTCAAAGGTGGAAACTGGGGAAGCTACAGACACTTGCCACTGGATCAACAAAACGCAGCGTCGTCTCTTCAAGTCGAGCACGCTTACATCAACGCATTGGTCAGAGGCGACCTGAGCAGCTTAAGATGGATCGAAAGTCCACTTAGCTACTACCAACCAGAAAAATCGTCGACCACAGAACTCTGCTCTGTCTACTACGCCCCGTTGAACTTCCGAGACATCATGTTAGCCAGTGGAAAACTGCCTCCAGACGCTCTGCCCGGAAATCTAGCGAACCAAGACTGTATCTTAGGTCTCGAGTTCTCCGGACGGAATTCAAAGGGACAGAGGATCATGGCCATGGTCCCAGCACGCGGTTTGGCGACCACGGTCGTAGCCGACACCGGATTCATGTGGTCCGTGCCTGATAAATGGACTCTAGAGGAAGCCTCGACGGTCCCAGTCGCTTATGCTACCAGTTACTACGCTCTGTGCGTTCGTGGAGGCCTGAGACCCGGCGAGAGCGTCTTGATCCACGCTGGTAGCGGTGGTGTGGGCCAAGCCAGTATCTCCATAGCTCTTCACGCGGGCTGCCAGGTATTCACCACCGTCGGAACGCAAGAGAAACGAGACTTCTTGAAGAAAATGTTCCCTCAATTGACCGACAGTAATATCGGCAACTCTCGCGACACCAGCTTCGAACAACTGATCATGAACGAGACCAACGGACGTGGTGTAGATCTAGTATTGAACTCCTTGGCCGAAGAGAAGCTCCAAGCCAGTGTCAGATGTCTAGCCATCGGTGGTCGCTTCCTCGAAATCGGCAAATACGATCTGTCTAACGATTCGCCTTTGGGAATGGCCGTATTCTTGAAGAACGCTTCATTCCACGGAATTCTTCTAGACGCTATCTGCGAAGACGATGGGCCGGACAGAAGAGAAGTCGTCAGGCTCGTTAGCGAAGGAATCAAGAGCGGTGCCGTCCGTCCGCTTCCTTCCACGGTGTTCACTGAGCAACAGATCGAACAGTCGTTCAGATTCATGGCCACTGGTAAACACATCGGCAAAGTTCTGTTGAAGATCCGCGACGAAGAGAAGCAGAAGGTCGTTCAACCGCAGCCGAAAGTAGTCGCCGCTATCCCGCGGACGTACATGAATCCGGATAAATCGTACATACTGGTCGGAGGTCTCGGTGGTTTCGGTATGGAGCTCGCAGACTGGATGATCACTCGTGGAGCGAAATACTTGGTCCTCACTTCAAGATCTGGCGTACGCACCGGTTTCCAAGCTCTGTGCATCCGTCGTTGGCGCGAGACTGGAGTCACTATTCAAGTTTCGACGGCTGACGTGACGACGTTAGCCGGAGCGAAGCAGCTGATTAAAGAGAGCAACGCGATTGCTCCTGTCGGTGGCATATTTAATTTAGCCGCTGTCCTGCGAGACAATCTCATTGAGAAACTTCAGGAATCTGATTTCGTAACATCGGCGTTGCCCAAAATCAGTGGAACTAAGAATCTCGACGCCGTGTCGCGGGAATTGTGCTCTTCGTTGGATTACTTCGTCGTCTTCTCTTCGATTTCGAGCGGAAGAGGCAACATTGGTCAGACGAATTACGGACTGTCGAACGCTGCCATGGAGAGGATCATGGAACAGAGACAGACGAGCGGTTTGCCTGGTCTTGCTATTCAGTGGGGAGCCATTGGAGACGTCGGTTTGATCTTAGAAGCACTGGGCGGTTACAACGACACCGAGATCGGTGGTACCATGCCACAGCGTATACAGAGCTGTCTCGAGACGATGGACGTGTTCCTGCAGCAACCGCACGCCGTCCTCGCTTCGTCTGTCCTCGCTGACAAACGTAAGGGTACCGATACTACGAACAAAGTTAGCATCGTTCAAGCCATCGCTAACATCTTGGGCGTAAAGAAAGTCGAGTCTATTAATCCTGGAATCAGCTTGGCTGACCTCGGAATGGACTCGCTGATGGGCACGGAGATTAAACAGACCCTGGAGAGAAATTACGACGTTGTTTTATCGGCGCAAGAGATTCGTACGCTCACGTTTGAGAAATTGGCGATCCTCGACACGGGCGTGACGGAAGACACGGACTCGAAGACTCTGGCGACGGAAGAAGCCGCCGTGGAAGAATTCCTCTTCCAGTTCGATGGTACCGACATCGTGCCCACGGAGTCCATCGTCCAGTTGAACACGAAGAGCTCTAAGGGACAACCGATATTCTTCGTACACGCGATCGAAGGAATGGCGGCGCCGTTCAAGAACGTAGCCAGCCAACTGACCCGACCCGCTTGGGGATTCCAATGCGTGAAGAATACTCCGCTGGAATCCGTCTCGCATTTGGCTAAATTCTACGTGAAAGAGATGCAGAAGATTCAGAAGAAGGGGCCGTATCAAGTCGTGGGATACTCGTTCGGTGCTTGCGTTGCATTCGAAATGGCTATTCAGTTACAGAAGACTGGGGAATCTGTGCATCTGACTCTACTCGATGGCTCACCGGACTTCGTCAAGCTGCACTCCGTGGAAATCGGAAAGCATGCTTCCGATCAGGAGAGCGATATAATCGTCGACGGTTATCGCAAAGCTTTGGCATTCTTCGTCAGACAGTTCAACACGAAGATCAGTTTCATTCAGGTAATTATATGATCGTCGATCATGTAAATACATATACTATAATTACATAGAAGTCTGGTCCGTTTCTCCTAAAGCTATTCTACAGAAATCTAATAACGTTTGAACATTTTTAGGCTTACGAAATTCTGAAAGAAGTGCCGTCCGACGATGCGGCAACGGAGAAGATGGTAGAAATGGTGAACAATCCGCAACTGAAGAGTGAAGACTTGAAGGCCGCTGGAATATTGTTCCACCTGAAGCTGCAGGCAGCTTACTTCTACAAACCTGACGACTCGTACAACGGCGACCTGGTCCTGGTCAGGTCCAGAGATAGCTTCGTCCCTCTGAAGAACGACTACGGTTTGGCAAAGGTAATTATCCTGCACGACATATTTTTTTTAAACATGTAAATAACACTTTTGATAATTTTCCGGCAGATCTGCAAGAAACCAGTGAAAATCGTTGAACTGGCTGGAAACCATAGAACCATATTGATGGACGAGAGCGCGTCGGAGATCGCGAAAATGCTACTGACGTAAAATCAGTTAAGGGGAAAATGAATCAACTTATAAATCATAGATAAACTCAAGGAAATAGTTTGTAATATTAATAATATGATTACTTAAATGTACATAAAATGTTGCATAGGCACGGCCAGAGGGAACTCTCTCAGTGATGAAAAAGGTACATCGTCGAAACTTAATTTTTAATATTTAAATATGATTCCTAATTAATTTTCTGTAAAGTTCCTTTTGTACAAACGTTTCTTCCTTCAGAATTCCGCGTGCATTGTTTATATCATCTGCATTATTAAGTTATATAGTCACCTTATACTTTAATCGTAAATAATATCTTAGATCGTGGAATGAGAAATAGGTGCCAAGGTAATGGAAAATAGTCTTAGAATTGTTTCGTTTCTGTTTTTGTTTTTCTCTCTCCTTTTTGTTGTCCCTTGCAACAGTCTCTACTATGGGTATTATTATAAACTTTCGCAGGTCACACGTATAATTGTTCATAGTGGTGCTTGCTATAAGTCTCTGTAATGGCACAAAACAGTGGACTAATGTGCTATTATTCAGACGTATAGCATCGAGATATTCACGTAAATATATTATACGAAATCGTTACATTCTGCATTTTCGTGGTATCATTTCGCATCCGAAGAGACACAACATTTTACATCGGAGGAATATGTACAAAATAAACATTTAATTAATACCAGGGATCGAACATCTTCCCCCGTTCTTTCAAAGGGCTAGAATATTAATAATAATAATAATAATAATAATAATAATAATAATAATAAAAATGTATTTGAATAAATGTAACAGAAACATTCCAGTGATAAACGTCAACGTATATTCTTTATATACATATGTGTACATATTTATACATACATACATACAATATATACCTACGTGCTCACAGTATGTACTGCACATAGCATACTTAATGCTTTGTCGAAAGCAACACGTTTATATTTTCTCATTAGCAATAAGAGATCAGTTTGTTAAATAATAGAGTATGTACATTTCTCGCATTACTTTAATTAATCGTTAAGTACATACAACATGCATTTCTTACATATGTCTTGTATTATATTGAAAATTAAATAAAGAACATCAGATATGTTGTCTATTTAACCAGGCGTGACTCTTATCGAGCCTCTCGAGGGTCTTAAATTAATAATACTGATTTATGCTTGTGCATTCGGGAAGGAATTTTAGGAGTATAAAAAAAAATTTAAATAAATGCCAAAGGAATCGGAATAATTTATTTATTTTGCAACACACGGTGATTCGGGTCAGCGATCTCAGAATTAGGATCGCAGGTGAAAGATAGGGTCAGTGCGTACCGCGTACCTGAATAGACGTTCTCAACGTTGTGCACACGTTCGCTGCTAGAAGTAAACATAGTCACCCTACCTAAAAAACGAAAAACAAACATTTTTATTTCCTCTACGAATAAAAATTAACAGTCCAATAATTAAGATTTACCTTTCCGTGGTTCCACCACTGCTTTTACATTATTTTTATCTGTGAACGTGAGTCGACCAGCTCGAAAATCTCTACCATAATCGCTTAAGAAGAGAATAGCCGTGTACTGAATGTCCTCGTTCTCAGCATCGTCTATCGTAACTTCGGACACGTTCGTCGTACGAGACAAGATCGAGGGATTGGTTAAAAATATTTTATTCGAGATATATACTCCAAAATAGTGAGCTACTGCGTGCTGTAGTTTGGTCCTCACTACCCTGTAAATGTTAAAAATTAATAATTGAAACCAGTAACAATCTGGTGCACACGAGAACGTTTCCTTCAGCAGAGACATGCCTTCAGTCAATATGAATTTTTCAAAATCGAAGAACGTTCCATATGCACCGACCACTGCATCGACTCTACATACTTATAAATCGCAAAGTCAGCGCTAGTGAACGTCTTCTTAGTTTCCGGCAAACTATAAATATCTGTATAACGTTGGCTTTTGCTCAATTTGCCCGAATGGAGGTCCAGCGTGTTGGAACCACTGTCAGGCTCACCTAACTGGAAACCGTTCGTTGCTACTTTCAACAGAACGTCGCTCTCCGTTGCAGACACCAATTTATCAGTAACCACTATTCCACATTTCTCCGGCATGCATTCAAGATATTTGCTCGTCTCCGGTTTATACTTGCTCGAGCATTCCACGTCCAGTACACGACTCGATAAGATCTCTTTCTGCTTTGCTAAATACGTCTCTTTACCTTGTCTACTACTGAACCATACGATGAACAATACTGGGAATATTAAAGCGGATCGGGACCAGACCCTTTGATAAGGAAACCTGACAGTGGGCCCATATTTCCTGCAAACACAATTAAATCAATCTTTATTTTATATCAGAGATAGAGAGTATGTTGTATTTATAGAAAAATCGAATAATCAAACGTGCATCTGATGTATTAATTTATTAA